ATTACCAATTACTGTCAAAAAACTCTTATAAAAACTTGGATTGAGCCCGTCTGGACTTGGCGCCTTATCTGGATGCATTGAGAAAACTGCCTCTTTTACCTCTTCTACGGTGAAAAGTCGATTAAGGATTCATTTTGAAAAAAGTACTTTGGGCCAGATCTCCTAGTCTTCCATTTATGTCCATATTGCTATGTTTTTCCTCTTAATAAAACGGCCCATGTGACCTCTTTTATTTTTTGAAAATTAAAAAAATTGACTTGGATGTAAACTTTTTTTCTTATTCCAAGCTAATTGGAAATCTGTGTATAATTAATAAAAAAAGAATACTAATTTATTATACAGACAATAATTGAAAATAAAACAAGGCCCAAAATGAAGTTTGGGTTGAAATATATCTAGTTGGTGATGCAAGAAAATTGATGGAGATGTTAAAAAAAATAAAAATAAAATTGCTACTGGAAGTTGTCTCTTGCATGAAGGGAAGAGATATATGCGGTCAGCTTATTGACATTTCAAAGTAGAATAGGCTTTAGATTGTGCACTACTTTTGACATATTGGTATATTTATTATATACTTCACAAAGGGAGTAATACTCCGCTATTATCTGAAAAAAGTCATTTTCTTTGTTGAAAATTTTTTAAATTAAAAAAAGTCTAAAATGATAATTATTAGTTGTGTGTTCATATATGAAAAGTAGCGAAAATAATTTTTTGAGATAATAATTATCAATTGAGTGACCATTTAAAAAAGGAAAAATTACCTAAATAAACAAATTATTTTACTATATTCTCTAAAATTCCCTACCTTTGAAAAAATTACAAAAATCCCTACTTTACGCGATGTATTAGTAGGATACATCACTTTACGTGATGTATCAAACGGGTACATCACTTTATGCGATGTATCGATCGGATACATCACTTTATGATGTATCGGAATGTGCGCAGTGTATCGAGACGTTACTTTACGCGATGTATCAGTCGGATACATCACTTTACGTGATGTATCAAACGGGTACATCACTTTATGCGATGTATCGATCGGATACATCACTTTATGATGTATCGGAATGTGCGCAGTGTATCGAGACGTTACTTTACGCGATGTATCAGTCGGATACATCACTTTACGTGATGCATCAGAACATATGTGATGTATCGGGACTTTGAGTGATGTATTTGAAACCAAAAAGTGATGTATCAGGACATTGGGTATGTATTAGAAACTGGGACGCAATGTATCGGGATGTATCTGAATTCCACCAAATTTAAGAATTTTTTGTAATTTGAAAATGAATAGGAATAAAATGTAACTAGCTCTTAACATTATGAGATTTGTGTAAAATCTACTTTAAAAATTAATTGATCAGACTATAATTACTTCAATGAAGAACTTGGTTAACTCTTTTTCTTTTACTTCAAAATTTGGTCCTTCCAAACAACATTCAACTTATGCGTATCATGCAAATTTGGAGGACATGGGCCGTTTTATACAAATTTAAGGCAGATCCACCCCATCTTGGCTAATCCATACAGGCTTTGAAATTTGACGGGTCAGACCGGGCTAGTTCATTTTTTGTGTTGGCCAGAAAATGGTCAGCCCAGCCCACAAGTACGTGGGCTATGGGCTTTGCCGGACCAGCCGTTTTTTCTTAAAAGTAAATTTTTTAAATAATTTTTTAAATTAAATTATGATTTAAAAATATAATCATAAATATCGACAAGACAATATTACATGGTGTTAGTATTACTTCTTGTTAATCAAATACACAAATAAAATTATCTTTATAATAAAGTATTTATTATGTTTGATTTCAAGTAAAAACATAAATAACTAAATAGAAATATTAACCTAATTGTTTTTCAATGATCATAATAAAACACAAAAACTATGACAATATTCCATAGGCTATGGCCTATGTAGTGATTCCCTAGAAAATTTAGGGAATTTTTATTTTATGTAGTACATATTTTATAAACATAATTTGTATTTAAATTGTAATATTTCAAACTTTAAGCATATTTTGAGTTTAGACTCTTGTTATTTTTAATAGGGAATTATTTTTATTTTTAATTAATTTTTATTTG